GACGGAGCGCGGGCTGCGGCCCTGGAACACCTGAAGCCATGTGGACGCGGCTGCTGCTCGCCTGCTGGCGGCGGAGGGCAGGCAGCCGCCGGGGCGCGAGCTGCGGGCGCAGGACACACTTCCTGTGGCTCTCCCCGCTCCGCCGCCGCGGGCTCTGCGAGCGGGATCGTTGGCGGACCTGCGGCTTGAGCGCCTCATCCCTCCTCTCGGGGCCGAGCGGTGGTTGAGGGCGAGTTGCCGACCCGCTCGGGCTGCGGCGGGAGGTGGAACGTCGGGGGTGCGCCGCGGTGGGAGTGGAATTCGGTGCGTTGGGGGGGCGGTGGCGAGGAGCGGCCACCCTCCTGGGTCTGTGGGTGGGGGCTTCGGCTCCGTCTCTATCCTTCCTTGTGGTTTGCCCTTAGGGGACAGGTCAAAATCAGGATCTCTCCCTTTCCTTTGCTTTCCTTTGCCCTAGGAGATTAGATGACTCTGGTAAATGCTGTAAAATGGATGGAATTTTTGAGCTATTATCTAACTGGCTGATCTTTGAATGATAATTGGACCCTTATGTTAACAGCCTCAGTGAAGAGTTTTATAAAACATCCTCACGTGGGGTGGCAGCTTGGTGAATGCGAAACCACTGAATTCCCACCTGGGAGACCAGGACTCTGCTTCCAGCTTTACCACCAAATAAACTGTAACCCAGGGCAAGTGACCGCCCCTCCCAAGGCCCCGTTTCCCCATTCGTTGAATGCCTCGGTTGGCGTTATTTCGTTTTGTTTTGGGGGCTTGCCTGTTTTGTGCTTTCACTTGTCCATAGGCAACTTTTCGAGAAAAACTAGCTCTACCTAACCTGGCTTTGAAAAAAAACCTGCCCTTTAGCTTCCAGCCTCTTTTCCACCAGAGCGTAAAAGTTGGCCAGGGTAGGCTTTCCTCAAATCCCAGGTGCTGTTCTGTGCTTCAGAACAGAAACTGTACCGTATTGTTATTCTGTTGTATGCCAAGTCCGCCTTATATATTTTTTTCTTTATGAAAGAGTTTTCAGAAAAAAAAATTCAGAGAATGTTTGAATACTTTGCAAGTGTGGCTAGTGTGCAACAGGGTCTTTGTAGGTTCGAAGATCTTTCTTTGCTGGGGATTGTAGAGACATCTTATTTAAAGTTCTTTCAGTGGGACATTTGGCTAGCTTTTGAAATTTCCAGCTTTGGTATTCTCAGTCGGGGTGAAGTAGGCATCCATAAAATCTCCTGTGAAATGGTAGGCTAGAGGAATTAACTGTCACCTCAGGGTGCACTAATTATTTGCATCCCCGATTTATCCCTTAATGGTAGCAAGATGCCGCCTCACAGATGCTGAAGAACCCCAATTAGTTTCACTTATTTTATGGTGTGTGAGGGCCTCAGGCCATGCTTTTGACTGGTAAGTACTTCTAGACCAACCTCAAATTTGGTCTTGTCTTAAATTTTTAGTGATACTTGAGGGACATGTACTTAATGTGGTGTAATATGCCTTTCTTAGATTCACTTTTTTTACTCAGTCCGCATGGTTTCCAGAAGGATCTTAGGGTGGTTGGAAGCTGTGCTCATAATGACACTTTTGGAGATGGGTTGGTAGAGGTTTTCTTTTGTGCTAACATCAGGCTTATCATATAGTCACTTTTTTTTTTATGGTTATACAGACGAATTATTGAAATTTTACAAATAAGCAATTATTCTATTAGGATTTGAATTATGACTGTGTGCAGTTTAAACCAATCTTAGTTACTGGTTACTCAAACCCTAGGTTTAAACAACCATAGTTACTCAAAATTATAAGTACTTATCACATTCCCATGTATATATTATGTTCGCTTATAACTTATAGGGGAAAATTATAAAACTTATTCTACTGAGGTAATTTGTGTGTATGTATGTGAGAGAAGGCTGCTAAATTTAAGTAAACTGTTAGGAGACTTGAACTTTTAGGTTTTGTAACCTTAGCGATATACCTTTTTCTTAATGATATAAAATAAAAGGAAATATAGTTGGCATGATCACATCTGTTTTGACCAGAAAATTAGAATTAGGCCCTTGGTAAGTTCAGCATCTTCATATAGATAGAAAGGATATTAACAGTTGTATTAAAAAAAAAAAAAAACTGCCAGGTGTGGTGGTGCATGCCTATAATTCCAGTGATTCAGGAGGTTGAGGCAGGAGGATCACAGGTTTGAGGCCAGCCTCAGCAACAAAATTATAGACCCTGTCTCAAAATAAAAAAAATTAAAAAAGGATAGACATGTTGCTCTGTGTTAAAGCACCCCTTGGTTCAGTCCCCAGTACAAAACCAAATCAAAACAAACTCCACAAACACATATGCTAGGCTCTGTCCAAGATTTTTGTTGTTTTGTTTTTGTTTGATTTTTTTTTTGGTACTGGGGACTTGAACCTAGAGGTGCTTTACCATTGAGCCACATCCCCAGCCCCTCAGGGTCTCACTAAGTTGTTTACAGTCTTGCTTAGTCACTGAGGCTGACCTCAAACTTGTGGATCTTCTACCTCACCCTCCCCAGTCCTTGGGATTATAGGCATTCGCCAACCATGCTCGGCTGCATGTTCAAGGTATTTTGAATTGTCTTACAATGGCCATCCAACAGACCTGAGAAGTACTTCAACTTCCCTTTTCCTCAAAGATTATAGAGTCAGAGTCAGGGTCTGGATGGAGCCCTCCTCTTGGCTTCAAAGCCTGTACCAGGTCTGTTACAGTTCACTGCCCGTTCAAGGCAAAAATCAGCTAGTGGTAGATGTGGATGTGGTCCTGGAATCTTTATCTTCCTGTTGCCCCCCCCCCTTGCCTTTTTTTTAAAGCTGTGATGAACCTGAAACCTGGACTTGGGCAAAATACTGGAAAGCATGATTTTGTGACTGCTTTTACTTTTGTGGCCCCTGGGAATTTTCTGAACTTTCACTTTCCCTCTACCTGGCCAGTTTGGCCTGTGTGCCTGAGATTTAATCTGTAAGAGGTTTCTCTTTCATATCCAATTCTTCCATTCTGTCTTGAGCTGAAAACTTGTATATCAACTTAAAAGAATTATATAGTACATAAAATGCTGTCTGTCTTCCTATTAGTGGTTTACAATGCACAGGAATCACATTGTGGCTGCTCTTACTTTGACCAGATGGGTCTTGATACATATATTTATAAAAGACAGTCCTTTCCTCAGTATGACTTAAGCACACTTTCTCTTGGGGGCTTTGTGTTCATGGTACTTTAGCAATCATCACATCTACCTGGGGCTTCCGTCATTGCTTTCTTCATATTCAAATATAATTTTATTAGGCTCTTGAATGTCCTGCCTCTTACACCCCCCCTGCTGGGAATGGAACCGAGGGCCTCATGCATGCTACACAGGTACTCTACCACTGAGCTACATCCTGAGTATTAAAGTCCTTTAATACTCATAGTACCTTCAGTATGGGTGAAAAGGCTCTCATGACAACAAACACAGGACTCTGGACGGTAGAACTATGCTGATGTTGCAGGTGGTGTGCACCACTCATCAGGAAGATGCACTATGTAACATAAGTTGTTAGTATGTCTGTGGCTTATTATCTGAGGCATCTTTATGTAGAAAACATCTTTAAGGAAGAGAAAACATTAGCTCTTGGGGGAAATATCCTCCTTGCAATATGCACATCTAGGTTCTGTAGGAAAGGATATCTGTTCTATGGAACACTTGAATATTAGCCCAGTGGGAAGATGATTTCCATGTTTGAATGTCACATCCCTGAATATGGATTAAGGTCCTTCTGTGTATGTTCTGATTTTCAGTAACCAGTGCTTATAGGCACTGCTATAAGCATGGAAGATGCAGTGGTGGACAAGATAGAGGAGTCTGCTCTGGAGATGGACTGCAGACATTAAATATGTAAGAATTTCGGGTGGTAATAATAGCTATGAAGAGAGTTTAAAAACAAAAGACGAAAAGA